CTTCTGTTCTTAGAGGAGTAGAACAGTTTTTCCTTCTCTCCTGCCCTCCCTTATCTTTCCTTGCTTTGCTGCTCGAAGCCTGCTCTACGTTTTTTATCCAAAACCGAAAATTATGGATTATTTTATGGATTTGGTTAGCTGGTCTCTTAATAGATTTTCTGAACAAATTTTCTTCCMTGGGAGGACATGTCAAAGGTGGGACCTCTGTTCTGCTCTGTTCAACTAGCACATATTCTGATCATTTCTACAGATTGGCTTGGTGGTCTTCTGGTGTTCTACAAAACAGTGTCGGTGGCTATTCATCTCCTGGCTGCCTGACCAACATGAAGGATTGCCGTTCTTTCAGCACTCAGACTTAAGCCTTGTGCGAGCTGGACTCGATCTGCAAGTGGTTCTGCTGAGGGTCGTGGGCCGGCTGTGGTTCCTGGACTTTGCTGGCCAGATGGAATTGATCTTGGAGAAATCTCGCTCAGCAGAATTGCCCTCACTATTTGTCTGATTGSATYCACCACATTGGATGTAACAGCAGACATTAAGGCAGATGGAAAATTATTATCGTCTGCTTGACCGAAAACATTTTCCTCTGTTCCCAAACAACTGATTACAGATTTGGCTCTCCCTACATGGCCTTGAGCTGCAGAACTAAATTTTCCTGGTTGTTTACGTCGAATTGTGGCTCACTTCCCCCACCTTTCCCCCCCTCTCACTTCCATCTGTGATCTGGTTCCTGGAGCTGAGGGCCACACAGAATGAACAGTTAACATCAATACTCTGAACTATGTCTGCGCTGGTTCTGGGGACTGGATTCTTCAGGTTCATTCTTCAGATATTCACACAAGTGCATACAACACTCATGGCTTCAGATACACCCCCCCCACCCCCAAACTCACTTACTCCTCTGGCTAATAAATGTGCTCTATGCAGAGGTGTTTTTTTATAAACACCATAGCGTGTGACACTGTTGATATAATATGATGTTTTGTTATTTTTTCCTCATCTATCCTTGTGTCGTATTTTTTTTCTTTTAAGTGTAGCTCCTCCTCATGATGTCTTCATGAAGATGATCCTTGCTCTGTGCAGGTCTGTGGCTGCATGACCCAGAGCACCTGTTCTCCTGTTTGTTATGTTCTGTCTTCTTCTGAATGGGTGTTCTGAACTGTAATTTCATTGTACTCTGTACAATGACAATAAAGGTCTATCTCGTCTCGTCTCGTCTC